AACAGTAAGAAGAGTCCTGCTGGATCAGCTCAATGTTTCCCTCCAAGCTAACACTTTGTTTACACAGTGGCCAACAAGAGCTCCCCTCTGCCAAAGCTCCCCAACACCCAGTGTATGTAGGAACATCACCCCAATCCTGGGGGAGCATATAGTCATCAGGACTAGTAGCACTGATAGACTCCTCATGCATGAATTTGCCCATAGGTTTGTGTGTCTGTGTATTCATACATGCAAAAAACCATGTACTCTCAGTCTCAGGACTTATGATCATAGTTTCTTCCTAGACTGCCAAGCCAAAGAGGTGACAGCTATGTGTAACCTCTGGGGATTGACCAGATCTGGGTCCTCCAGAGATCATCAACTGGTTCTTCTACCACAACTGTGGGGATGAGACAGACGTAGAAAGAGCAGTGGTCTTGGCCTAAGCTCTGCACCTAGAAAGATGCAAGAATCCATTGGATGGAAGAAAGGGGAGGTATTCGACAAATTACAAAATGGAAGAGTAAGGTGACCACAGCAAATTCAACACCTGAATGAACGTATTAATAGAAGGCAGTGCATAGCCGATGTAGGTGGTTGCCTTTGTTGTTGTGACATGCCACCCAGTTATCTCTAACTTTTGGTGACCCTGTGAATGAATGCCTTCCAAGATGTCCTGTCCGTCACAGCCCTGCTCAGCTTCAAGGTCATGGCTTCCCTTATGGAGTCCATCCATCTCACACTTGGTTTTTCCCTTTCTCCTTCTGCCTTTGGCTCCCCCGAGCATGATTGTCTTCTCCGGGGCGTCTTGCCTTGTCATGATGTGCCTGAAGTATGAAAGCCCAAGTTTTGTTATTTCTGTTTCCAGAGCGAGTTCTGTCTTAATTTGATCTAGGGCCCACTTGTTCATCTTTTCATTGGTCTAGGGTGTTCACAAAATTCTCCTTTAGCACCATGTTTCCAGCACTTTCTGCCAGCATCTTTCACTGTCTTGCTTTCATGCTCCTACCATGTCAGATCAGATCCTCTAGCTCAGCATGGTCTACTTGGACTAGCGGTAGCCCTTCAGGGTTCCAGACAGGAGTCATTCCCAACCTGAGCAGCAGCAATTCTTCCTGCACAACCCTCATCAAAAGCCTTTAGATGTGACACTGAGAGGGTTAAGGATAGCCTTACACTTGATTCGGCATTGTCACCGAAGACACCTGAGGACGGTGTCACAGAAAGGTGAGTCTGGCTCATTTTGAATGAATTCATGACTTCAGGCAGGATGTGATGGAGCTGCTTTCAGGGAGCTGGAGAACAGGACATGCCACTTCTCTGCGATCCATTTTAGAGGATCGGGGGAAGGCTAGGCGGACGTGCTTTTCCCAGCCACTGTGCCACCGCTCTCTGACCACAGAGTGCTCTCCATTCGCTCAAAGGTCCAGTTGTTACAGAGGCAGCAGGCCTGTGTCCAGGCTGTGCCATTTTGGACCACGCGTAGGGGATGCAAGGGCTTGAATGCCCCCCATAACAAAAAGAGCAATGGGGAGAGAAACCCCTGCAACAAGCCAGCATGTTACAGAAGCGAGGCCAGAATGCTTTTTCACAGTATCAGCTTCTTGCAGACTGGGAGGCTGAAACTGCGTTGAGAGAGGTACTTGCCTGCTTACTATGGCTGAATGAAGCCAGGACGGTGCTAGCTTCCCTAGCCAGACCTACCCTACTCCAAGCACCTTGTGCAGATGCTTACTTAATGAGGAATGCTGCCGATTGTGAAATACATAGCAACCGGACGGTCCCTGGAGGGGTGTGTGTGGATGTGGCAACCTAAGGAATTTGGCAACAGGGCTGATGTTCTCTGCCAGAGACTGAGTCACCCTCTCAGTAGCTCCCAGACTCATCCCAACACACGCGCCCACCGTCTCAGGCACGCCACCACTTCTGGACCCTTCACAGAGCTTCTCCAGCTCCCGAGATCCACCCGCGGTGCCCCACACGCCACAGAATCCTGCATCTCCTCCGCCCCCCTCTGCTCTGCCTGCCGCCATTGGCAGTTCTAACCCGCCCTGGGAGCCACCTTTCAGTGCAGGCCGAGACCCGCTTTGACAGGGTCTGGGCTTTTTTTGCCAGGAATTAGAAGAATCTGCTCTATAAACATGGCTCACCACAACACTGGTGTTGCAAAATCACAGGCCATTCCCCCCAGTGAACTGCTCGGACCAGCTTTCCTCCCAGAAAACCCAGTCAGCGGGGCTACAGCCCTGCTCAACAGCCAGTTCCTGGCAGCAAGGATAAGGGAGGGAATGATCAGATCTAGGAAGGCCCTGAGGAATCTGCAAGACCAGGCATGACAAGGGTGAGCTAGTGCAGACAGCAAGAAGAACAAGGTTATGTGGGGATTTAAGGGTGTACTACTTAGAGGTTACCTTTGATGGAGATAAGAAACTGGGGCCTTCCCCCAAGGTTGTGAGTTGGGGGAGGGAGTGGCAGGCCAAGTCCCCTGCCCCATGCTAGGTTCGTGTGCGTTTCACCCAAGAGCACACTTCAGAAAGCCTCTGCTAGGATGATTGCAACCTGCCAACAAATGCTACAAAATGAACTTCAGCTCCTTTTAAACCAATTGAGCTAAACCAGTTGAGCTAACTGCCAGACGAGTTTGAATAGAGAAGCAGTATATAAATATTTTAAATAACCAACGTAAGATAACATTCATCCATCGTGATAAAGAGCTCTGGCAAAGGAGGAAACTGAAGGAGGCTTCGGCAAGGGGCGGCATAGAGATGTTTTAATAAAAAATAAATAAATAAAATAAAGATGTGTTTACACGGAGAAAGGCTACTGAGCCCCTGCTGTGCCATACATTTTTACTGGCTGGAAGTCTCCAGAGCCACATCTGTAGTGCCCTGAGGCAGAAGGCAAATTGCTCATTGCAGTACAATTGCAAATGTACTACATGACTAAAGGCAGGTGGTTTAAATATTTTTATTTACAGATGTTTAATATAACTTAACAATTTTCCCAGTAAATGCCAAGCCACAAGCCATGGCTCTGGTGTACCTCCATCATGTGCCCTCCACCACAAAATAAGCATCGGGCCATCTCAGGATAGTTTGAAAAATAGTAACAGAGATTTAACTGTGCAGGTATTAATTAACAATAATGTAACCTCTCACTATGTAAATTTCTCTCTCTCTAGCAGCAAGCAATATATATACTTACACCACACCAAGTCTGCCTAGTCCAGAACAACCCAGAGCCCCTTAAATACCATTGCATTAAGGTGCTTAAAAACTTGAGCTGGCCCTTTCATTATCCTGCTATAGTTTGCAAACACAATAGAGTCCCAGCTGTATGCATGTAACCATGAAGAGTGCATCATCTTACAATGCTGCCACAGGGTAGCGTGGCCGAGCGGTCTAAGGCGCTGGATTAAGGCTCCAGTCTCTTCGGGGGCGTGGGTTCGAATCCCACCGCTGCCAGACCACATTTTGGACATGCACATGGTGGGCATGTCGTGAGCGGAGCCGGCTGGAGCCGGGGGTCAAACTTGATGGCCCGGGAGGCGCCTTCTGACTCACTCTGTTTCTATGATTCCTCATAAAAGTATCTTGGCAGTGGTGCTCAGGCTATAAACAGTACACTGTCCAGAACTTGTTACCAAGCCCAGTGCCAGTAAACCTTTCTTTTCACCTTTGATACGCCGTGTGGAGGTGGTGAATATGACACTCTGAGGACCACTCTAAGGGAAAACTCAAAAGCAGGCTATCACGAGAGGGGGATATAAGCAGTGCTAAAAATCAGTCATTTCTTTCCATACATGAATGACAACCAATGGGACATTAATATGCTGTAAAAAGAAACATTCCTGTCCACTAGTTTTCTTTTGGAAAAACAGCTTCAAGTGATCAAGCCAAAATTTCTGTGCAGTATCCATCTTAAGGTATAGATCAAGGGCAAAATATCTGAGGAAAGCTGTTGGCAGTTATGCAAAACATTAGCCATTAGGAGGTGCAAACTGAAACAGTTTTAAAGTACCAAATCTCTCTGAATCATTGTGTATCCTTTGACAGGTTCTTTCACAAGCTGTGTATAAAGTGCTGGGAAAAGAGCCATCCAGTTAAATGTCTAACACCCTGGCTCGATCCACCACAACAGCAAACCAGTGTGGCACATTTTAAGTTAAAAGTTCGACTCTATGCACACTTTCACATAAACTTGATATGTAACATTTTCTTGCACAAGACTTTTTGAAAGCACATGATTGAGTCCATTCTCTCCCCATCCCACTGCCTAAAAAGGGTAGAACTTAAAATCTGGAAAAGGTTTCTGTATGCAGCGAAAGTGGAAAAACTAGGACATTCGTTCAGAAATACTTGTGATAAAGTGGTTTTCCTCCAAAAGAATGCCATCTGGTGACCCAGTGAAGTATTTTTCAACCATGGCTTATACCATATCCATGGAAGTGTCAGTTGGCAAGACAGTCGGTATTAAGGGTGGGGTCACAATCGGGTAAAATGGCTTTTCCCTTTGTTTCCCTGTTGCTTTGTTCTGTTACCCAGAAAAGGAAACATTCTTCCTTACCTGTAATATTTTTGTGCAAAGCTCTTTCACAAAAGCTCTTCTCTTTAGCTGTACTCAGGGATATGTGGCAAAACCAGGCAAAAGAAAACCACTTTCTTAAAAGTAGTGAGGACCTTCCACCTGGGAAGTACTGGCAGAAGTGTGAGTACAGCCCTTGTGATGCAGTGCAACCTCATGCAAAATCCATGTGCACAATCCAATGACATTTTAAGGCAGATTTATAACTTTAAAAATTGAGACAAAGTGCAAGCTCAAGAAAAATACTCGGTGCAAAAATATCCATGCCTAAGTTTAACTGCAGAATTAAAAACCAAATGGATGATACTAAAACTTCGGGTTTCATGTTGTCCCAGATATAGAAGATTTAGGTCCAGTCCTCCAAAGGGTAAACAGTGTTTCATTCTGCATTGAGAAGATAAAATAAATGCATTATGAATATTCTGCAGTGTAAAGGGGAGGGTGGATGCCACTTTTCCTTTCTTCCCATTTGGGTGGGGATGGAGTGGGTGGAGTACCTAAGCAAGAGAAAATTGTTCCTCACTAGCTATGTTTTACAGAGAGATTTGATTAATCTTGCATAGAATTTGGAGAGAACAATCCCTTTGCAAGAGTACAGAAACATAAAATGTGTGCAATAACCACAGCAAAAAGATCAGATAACTCTTCCTATTCAAGGTGAATTTTGGTGGCTATGAATAGGCCAGTTTGAGGAGGCTGGTGTGACATCTGAGCCCGTCACCCTGCAGTTCCACATTGCTTCACCAGAGGGCATCCCTACATCATAACAGAGAGATCTCTTATCCAGGCAATCCTTCCACTTTCATTTTTTGTTTCTTCATCACTGCTTCTAGTTCGGATACTTTCCCAGAATCCTGGAAGAAAATTAAAATTAAGATCGGATATTATCCTGGTTTCAAGCAAGCACTTCTCAGAAAACTCCCATGTTTTGCTAAAGTCACATTTTTGGGGGTTGCCTTAACCCTATTAAGCTTCTCTAGATCTGAATTTTTGCAGCAGCCTGTTAGCCCACTGGACTCTTAATGTGCATCACCACCCTTAGCAGAGACCTCAGGGTTCCTGGTACCTCCAACAGGGCTCTCTGGATGGCGACTTGGCTGTAGACTCGTGATCCTTCCTCTGAGCTGACGGCTTTGAATTCCTCTTTGTTCAGGGAGAAGAGCTGAGCTCCATTCAGAACTCCAAAGGCACTTGCAGTCCTGCAAAGGTGGGTGGAAAGAGTGGACAAATGGAAAGAAAAGGATGTCTGCCATTTGCATGAAACTCTGAATATTAAGGAGCTGTGCAATCACTGAAGTCACACTTGCACACTGTGTGGAAGATTTGTGCAGAGGAACAAATGTCTGAAACACCCATTATAAGTCACATTTGGCAAATAGCGGCCAATCAGATTAGCCATCTCATGGATCCCAGAGTTGGGCAACTGCTTTTCCATATTTAGCTAGCTGTGGTCAGGAATGTAGAAAAAGGACTTGTGGCTAAAGAAGCAGCAATGGCAAAACATTACAGGCTCTGTGCTATTGAGCTGTTCAGAAAAATAGCAGCTGCTCGCTATGGTGGCCAGTCAGAAAATGGCCAGATTCCGGCCAACTCGGGTTGACATGTGCGATTCTCATGACTGGTTTGCACCCAGGACGAATCCAAAGATCAGCCAGCAAGGGACTGGCAGGAAGCAGGTTTGGTAGATACTAAGAAACACAAGCTCAGACTTCATTGCCAATCCATATGTCCCCTCAAAGACAAACAGAGGTAGCAACTCACAGCGGGCTGAAACCTTTGGCTTCTAACCAGGTCCGGACTTGAGCAGAATCTGAATCGTATCCTAAAGGCACATCGGTGTCTGCAGCACGCTGGATATGAAGGGTCTTACTATGGTTATTCAGCCCATTGGCCAGTCTCTGGGCAAGCTCCTCATTGACAGTGCTGAAGCGTTCTGCCCGGGCAGGAATGACATCACATATAGCACCAGTGACTCAATTGGAAATATTTGCATGGGGCAGCCCATGAATTAACCTTACACCCCCACAACAGCTCTACATGTAGCTCAAAATGGCAATGGCATCCTTCCCAGAGTATCCTGTAGTACACGAATAGGAGGCCAATTATAAAACTGTTTTGAACTTTGTACAATCAACTAGTCTTTTGTTTAAAAAATATAATGCAAAGCACTTTGTTCTAGTGCTGAAATTTGGACTTATTAAAGAAATGTGGAACTTTCCTGGGGAGGCCCAAACACCTAATGGAGCTGCTACAAGAGTCTGAAAGACCAGCTAAGGTGTTTGTCAGGATTCCAGAACTGCTTGGAATGAATGATCAGGTTCACTGGAAGCGTACAATCAAGCACTCAACCCTTTTATTTACAACAATAGAAATCCCTAAACTGCAACAGCACTGAAGGGTAGCAGTCTTAGACTGCTATAAAGAACAGAGCATGCCTAGAGTGTTTTATGGACAGTAGTCATGTTCACATGAGAGGGAGACCCTGAATGAGCAATATGCAAGAATGAAGCACGAAAGGAAAACACAGAAACATTGAGAGCACTGGAGAAACATCATGACGCCTCAAGATCCTGAGTGACATAACACAATCAGGAGTGTTTGCCTTTTACAGTCAGAGGTAGGACATTGCAGGAAGACAATGCAAGAGCAGGCAGAAGGACAAATTTGAGTTCTCCAGCAAGATTACATATGCAAATAGTATCTATTTGCATGTTCTGGGGCTTGTCTCCTCTTCTCACAGAAGGACTCTGAACGGAAAGACCCTGCATATGGCTGGTGGGTGGGCAGCAGGGGGGGGGGACAGGCAGTTTTCTATATTCTAAAGTATAGAACTTATAACTTTTATCAGGACAACTCCAACATTCCCTGCTCCATGCTGAATTTTCTCCCAGATCACACAGACCAATTCTCAGGCAAAATCATGAGAAAAAACCAGTTGCTGCTCTAGTTCTGCAGGGAAAGAGAGACTTACCTCGCTCACTTAGGTTCATGTTAAGCCCCTCAGCGCTAGCCCATTTTTTGCCATTTGCGTACAAAACGTTGGTCTTCGGGGGTGGCTGGGGTGGAGTTTTCTAAGTAGAAGGTCAAAGGAAGAAAAATGAGCAGGTGGTCCTCTTGAAGAGCCCATCTCCAGCTTGGGGAAGTTCCAAGCAATGCGCTACACCTGTAGCACCAGGGCATCCACTGACTCCTCACCATGGCCAGCTGTACCAGTGAAGCACCTGCCTCAGTGGGGAAGGCAGTGGAGACCAGAGCTATGCAAGCAAGGCAGCCTGGCCTCTCTCCCCCAGGCGTGTGTGTTGCCCTCAAGTGTGATGAAGGATGCGGTCCCGTTGCCCTTGCTGAAGTGACCTGCAAGTGCCAGTTCAGTCCAGGTGGCTTCTGCATGTGGAATAAGGGGGGAACCAACATGTCCTTCACCTATGCTCAAAATATCTCGAACTGGCCCTGCCTCTCACTATCTTCCAGGATGGCTGGGCTGTAATGCACCAGACCTGAAACCAGTGGTGTCTTCTATGCTTGCTTGGGCCATTTTGACAAGCTACGTTTAATTTGTAAGGTTTTTGCATTTCCAGGCCCTCTAAATTTTAAAGAAAAACCTTCACTGGTGGAGACAGAGATCTGATGTTTTAAAGTGACACTCTGCCCATCCCTTAATGGTTTCCCGAGTTTGGCCAGGACTCCATGGCCCTGGGTCACAAGGACATACGCATTGTGCTGCTGGATCAGCCAAAACGCCATCTAGTCCAGCAACCCATTTCTAACAGTGGCCAGATGATTTCTTCCAGGGAGCCCATGAGCAGAGGAAGAAGACAATGGCCATTTTTATCCCCCACGCCCAGTATTTATTTATTTATTTATTTATTTATTAAAACATTTCTATGCCGCCCCTTGCCGAAGCCTCGAAGTATTGTTCGCCCCTTGCCGAAGTATTGTTGCATGTATGGAATGATCTATCTTTGTAATGCTCCATTACATGCATGTGCCACATCATTCACCAATAAATGCAACTCTGTTACCTGACTTTGGCCTGCTTTCTGTATCAGTGCTGCTGACTATGTTATTTTCATTGCTATTTCCTATTTTATTATGCAATGAATTTTCATTTTAAAGCTCTTTGGATATTTCATTAGAAAGCGGCATGCAGTTTTGGGGTCTCTCGTTTTAACAATTATAAATGAAGCAAGCAAGCAGCCCCAACTACTGAAGTTCACCTCACCGTGGCATTCACAGGACCGGTTCCATTGATCTCTATAGTTGTCTTGTGCTTCTGGGTGTTGGAATCCTCTCCAGGATGATCTCCAAGCATAACAAGAGTAAGGATATTGTAAGGGACGTAACCAACTTGACCATAGCGATTTTGAACTTTCCACCATTTCTTACTGTCATCCAGAACCTAATTGTAAACAAAAATGAAACAAACAAAACTTGACCCAGTTTCCATGTTCCTTAGAATTGTCATGAGAGGCCAAATTGTCTCTCTAGAATTGTCAGCCTCACAAATAATTTTGCAGTTGTTACTAGCTCATAATGTTTTTAGTAGATAGCCCAGCTCATGCATATTTATATTAGTCTTCTAGGGCACATATACATAGCCTAGAAAGGGGGAAGGTATCAACATTTTAAGAGAGCCTGACTTCACTCAGGGGAACAGTCGATTGTGTATTCCCTAGTGTCCAGATTCCCCAGTGCAGTTGGGTTTTCTGTGGCACTGCCCAAACTTCAAATCGCCTTCCCTTCTACACTGCCTGGACTGGGAGGGAATGATCGTTAGCAGAGCAGAAGGCTGGGGACGCAAACTCACCTCCAAAATGTCTCCTTGAAGCACAGATAATTCATTGTCATTTCTAGCTGAGAAGTCATGGGTGCAGATCACTGACTTGCTTCCTGGGTTCCTGTGTCTTTGAAAAGCCAGAGGGAAGAAAATGTACCTTGGATTATAGTTGGAAAGTACTCTGATTTGAAGGTTCTCTACTTCATCGATAAAGGTTTGGGTTTTGGTTGGAGATCTGCATCTCCAGGGTCCCCACTTAAGCTGCAGGAGTTAGATTAAATTTAATTTCATTGTTGTCAATCACTGTTCCAAACCAATCTTTCTCCTGCATCTGCATCTGTGAGGCCTATATGTACCCCTGTAAGCTCCACATGATTTAATCTAGGGCTGCAACTTTAGTTAACTGGATTGATAAATCAGATGAAAACATTTTGATTGACTGCTAATTTAAAGCTAATTTTAAAAAACAAACTAACTTAATATAAGGACTGCAATTGGCAAGTGCTGTATTAAAAGCAGCATTTCCTCCCACGTGAGAGAAGGAGAACACCTCCTTTAAGACATTGCTATGATTCATGTATATTTGGTCTAAAAACCAAGTTTTTATTCTTTAGAACAGCTGTTTCATTTGAAAATGTATGCATAATTAATTAAACAGGTTGTGCAAGTAATCAACTAGTGTTGTTTCTAAATTAGGTTTGCTTTCCCACAATTAATTGGAAGCAGAATGAAATATGTTCTTTTATTTTTAATTGCAAAAGAGGACAATTTCAAAAGAAAGAGAAATCAGTATTTAATTTCCTTGCAAGAAATTGAAACTGGCCAGTTACCAAGAAATTCTTTTATAATATCCCAGTTGTGCTGTACAAGGAAAGAAGGAAGTTTCTAAATAAAAATGCAGTGTACCTGAAAAGCCTCAATTCAGCTTTGCCTGTCCACACAAGACAAGCTGTTATTGCAACGACATTTTAAACATTCAGGTGAGGAAAAAGGCTCAGCGATCAGTACAGAAAAGTGAATAGATAAAGTATAGCAATTCCAGTGTGAAAAGGAAACCAGCTCAGGATTTCTTTAACTGGGTGACAGCCCCAGTTTTGTAAACTGGTTAATTGGCTAAAAGCTTGAGAGGCTTAATGGTGCAGAGCTAGTGGGGATGTGAATGGTGGCGTTCCTTCTTTCAGCCATTTTGAATTGGTTATGTTGGTATAGTAGGGAATGCGTAGGAAATGAGTGAGTGAGTGTGCTCTTTCCAATAAAGAGTAGTTGCTTCTGTTTATTAAATTGTAAGTATCTGACTCTTCCTTCAATATCTCATGAGAGCACCTATATTGAGGCTTAGCAATATGCTAGTTCACTGAAAATTGAATCATCAACTAAAAGGACCAGGCAATTAATCAAGCATAAATCCTATCAGTGCTTGGCAGCTCTTGCTTTAGACCACTTTTATTTATTTATTTATTTGGAGTTTCTGTATGCCGTCCCATTCGCATAAGCCTCGGGACGGCTTCCAACATAATAAATAAATTAAGCTTATACTCTTCTCGGTGCCAGGTCAAACTCTTTTTATTTAACCATTATTTTAAAAGTTAGTATTTTAATGTACAGTCACATTTTACTTAATTTATTTTTATTTGCTATATGTTATACTATAACAATCTCAAACAATAATACATATTTGATTTTAATGATTGTAAGCCGTCCTGAGATGCTGTGCATAAAGGGATGCCATATAAAAGTTTTGAATAAACAAATAATAAATGAATGAGAAGGGGACATCCTGAGACAGGGCTAGCCAGGTTTTAAGCATGTACTAACATAAGTGGCCAGCAAAGCACCTAGCTGAATGGAGACCATGAAGCAAATTCATGATTACACACAACTGTGATACTGAAGGAAGGGCAAAAGATGACTGGGAGGGGACAGGCACCCACACCGATTTCTTCTTTCCTCTAGTAGATGCCATTTCCTGCCAAAGAAGAGTTTCCTGCCTCTTTGTTTTGGAGAGAAGGGCAGGAGATAGAGAAGGAGGGGATCAAAGCCATGCAGTCCCCCCTGACCCGATCCTACCTTAGCTGGCTGCCTAGCGTCCCCCTCTTGGCTCTCTTCTGGGCTCCATTTTTCTTTAAGCCGCTGTCCTCTTGTGTTCATCCTGTTATATTTCCCTTCTGTGCCCATCACCAAAGCACCTGGCCTGTGCCACCTGCCGCTTGCCCCCTGTAATACTTGCATCCAACCTCTCCCACCCTAGAGCTGGATCCCCCTCCAGGAATCTAGTCTTAACTGCTCTAACCCATCAGATCCTGCTATGTTCCCAGTATATCTAAGAACTCCAATTCCTAGGGAGTCAAATCCAATGAAAATCCTACTTAGAGTAACCCCCTTGAAATGAATGAAACTTGGGTTACTCATAACTACCTCCTGAACTCTTCTGTATGTTATTTAATCTTGGCAAATTCCATGTTCTTTCAAGAGAATCCAGGTATCCTAGGTCCAAAGGCTCTAGCTAATTTCGTATGGCTTTATAGAAAACCAATCTTTCTTGATTCTCTCCTTCTGTGCCTTATCCTATAGGCAGGGTTAGACTTCCTTTTTGTTTCCGTAGCTTCCTGCCAAACCTGTGCATCCCTACAGGTATCCAAGGATCAAAAGTTCACCCTGCTCTCTTGAGCTGCCACTGGCACTGTTGTTTTATTCTTTTGCCACTCTGTGGCATATGTGTCACGTCAATTACATATCGATCCATCTATTCATGCTAAATTGACCTTATTCCAAAAATGGCTAAGAAAATGTGGCAGATGTGGGTACATAAAGCAATTTCACTTTAGCTCAACTAGGGGGTGCCCATGGTGAGCTTTTGTTGTACCTTACATGCCAAATTTGACTTCCCAGCTATGTGGCTGAAAGGCAATGCTTGCAAACGCAGAATTTGTTGTTATCAAGGTTTGGCCTGGCCACTTTTACAGCATCAGAGTCTCCGTAGGACTTATTGAGAGTGGTCAGGCAAAGTTACCTGAGGTTATGTCATGCTCATAAATACTTTGTATTGGTGAATGCAGGGTTCAAGCAGGTGTGGAAGAGGGAACTGGATTGTTCCATGTGATCTCATCAATGGATTGCTGCTTTGACATCTGCACTCGTCACATCAGTACCTCTGATGCTCTGTCTTATTTATGAAGAACGTTGGCTTCATGTCTAGTGGGCACCACAATGTCTCTTTTAGAAGGAATTGTCTAACTTGTCTAATTGCTGGCAGTGCCATACGGTGAATGCTTCTTGTAGGCATATTCTTTGGCAATGCCCAGTAGTTGCTTCCTTTTAGGAAGAGGTTATTATATGGATAAATTTGTAATGATTGTAAGCCGTCCTGAGATGCTATGCATAAGGGGTGGCATATAAACAGTCTAAATAATAAATAAATAACTAAATAAATAAATGTTGTGCCGGACCAAATTTTAATATTCGCTGATGTACACACCCTTTCAAATTATTTACTGTTTCAAATGGTCAGTGTAAATGGATTCTCCAGACCCCCTGACAGCTAACAAACTGATATTGCTAAACTGGAAAGATAAATGCTCATGTCTCATAATCCAACAGATTAAGCATTTTACACCACTTCAACCTCTGAGAATATCACCTTCTGGTAACATCCAGATTAGATTACTGTAATGCTCTTTACACAGGGCAACCTTTGAAAAAGGTCCAGCAAATTAAATTGGTCCAAAATCAGGCCACATGGTTGGTGGCAGGCGGGCCCATAGAACACCAGTTTTGTATAAATTGCACTGCTTGTCAGTTGTAGCCTAGACCCAATTTAAAGTGCTCCTTTTGACATTAATGCTCTAAACAGTCCTGGCTACCTAAAGGACTGTCTGCTCCCATATATACCACCTGTCTATTAAGATCTAGGCAGGAAGTCCTTCTAAAGGAGCCACACCTTAAGGAGGTAAAGGGGATGGTAAATAGAAGAAGGGCCTTCTTGGTGGCTGCCCCTCAATTATGGAACAGGCTCCCCAGAAAAAATTGCCAAACTTGTACTCATTTTGGTGCCAGGCAAAAACTTTTCTTTTCTCTGAATACTTTTAAGAACAGATTTGAAATTTGACATTTATTCTGACATCTGTCATCCTGCTTACGTGGTGTAATTATGATATTTCATTATTAACATTTTAGTGTGATTTTATATATAACTAGCTTTATTGTTGCATTTTTTTAGTATTTTACTGTAAGCTGCCTAGAGAATCCTTCTGGGTCAGCAGGCAGCAAACAAATTTAAAAATAAAGAATCCTCACTTGGCTGTCTGATCTGCGTTTGCTGAAGTCCATATATAATTGATGGGAACTTGTATTTTCATACATACACTTCATATTGCTATGGACATATTCGTATTTCATATTCAAATTTATGTTTGCGTGGTTTAATTTTTTAAAGGAAAAATGGTTCACCCTGACTTCTTGACCGACTGTTGCTTGTTTTGTTCTTTTGGCAGCGCTGCTGTTCTGCATTCAAGAACTCACTCAGTGCTGTACAATTGCAACGTTACAAGTTTATAATGTCTGGCCATTACCAGAGTGTGCTTTTCTCTGCAGCTGCATCCCTATTAACGTGCAGGGCAAATAGTTTATTGCACTGGGGGCCTACTTGTGAGGAGGACACACCTGACATCTGTTCTGGCCCCTGAACACCCACCAACACGGACTTCACGATCAGTGAGGTCCTGTAAGGACAATTTTGGAATTCCCCTTGGCGCTGCTTCTGCACAATAACGGGCACTGTGGGCCCTGCTGCCATGGTACTGGCACAAAACTAAACAGTGCAGGCTCCAGCAGTTCCATTCTCTTTCAAAAAGGAGTTGGCGCTTGAACAATCCTCCCTCAGAGGACAAACTGTTTGCCTTGCAGTAGCCTCTTGGAAACCTTCTGGAGCTGTGACTTCCAGCCACCTAATTTGGCTCATTACTACCATTCTCCTTCTTTTGCATATTCCCTAGCACATCGATGCAGAACCTCTCGCAGCTACTTTCTGTGTCAGAGAAGCTGATGAAGGAGCTGTATTCCAGTGGTGGGTGGATCTGGAGACACAGGAAGTGGGCCTCAATATACCCCCCACAGCATGTTGTGTCTTAA